AGTGTATGCAATTACTGATTTTTATTTAGCAATAACCCAAGCCAGGCCTGGGTCAGGCGTGGGGTAGACACAGACAGGAGGGTTCAGGTCCCGTCTGGGAGAGACCCCAGATGACTCATGCTCATGTGCCAGCGCTGGGCTGGGGCCAGGGACCACGGCAGCCAGCAGGAAGCCTGGTCCCTGTCCCCAGAGACCTAGTCAGGGAGACAGACATTGTTCAAATAATCTCACGGGTGAAAATATAATGACCAATGTGGACACTGTTGGACCATGGAGACAAAGAACAGGTTCCTTTGATAAGGGATAGCAAGAAGGGGGGCCTACCTGAAGTCGGAGGGCTTAGGGGAAGTGACACAGGGGACTGCTCAGGTGGGACCTGTCAGGACTGAGGGGACTGTGTGTGCAAAGGCCCCGAGGAGCAGCCCAGCTGGGCAGGTTCGAGGAAAGTAAGGGAGCTGATGAGGCTAGGGATACGGGGGTGGGGTGGGGAGCAACAGGCTCGGGGGCTGCCGGCTGGAGCAGGCCTGAGGCTCAGGTTGGGGCCTGGGGGGACTCTGGACTTTGTCCTGAGGCAGCAGAAGCCCTTGGAGGGTGTTAAAAGCAGACACAGCTGAGGGAGCATGGGGCTGTGGGGTGGAGGGTGGCGCAGACGGGCAGGGAGACCCTGCAAGAGGCCAACCGGGTGTCCAGGCAGGAAAGGTTAGGCGTGGGTTGTGCACGGAGGAGAGAGGAGATGGGTGCGCACGGTACCGAGGGGGTGCAGGGAGTAAGACTCTGATCTACTCTTTATGGGAGAAGACTGCCAGGTCTTTCTCCAGCAGAGCCACTGGGTGGGTTTGAACTGCCCACCTTTTGGTTAGCAGCCAAGAGCTTAACCTTTATGCCACAGGGCTCCTGACCTACTGCTAAGTGAGGGGAAAAAGTTGCCCGAACTCTAAAAAGTCACTCTGAATTGGCATATGTCTGTTAAAATGTCTGGACCCACAGTGTCTGGACACACCTGCTCACAGTGGCGGCCCCTGGGGAGTGAGAGCACAGGGGAGAGGTGGCCAGGAAAAGGACGCCCGGACAGCAGGAAGGACAGCGGAGGCCACTGGATGGGGACAGGGAGGAGCCGCTTTGAGGGAGAAAGGCCTGGCAATCTGCTCCTGTAAAGATTACAGCCTAGGAAACCCTGTGGGGCAGTTCTGCTCTGTCACACGGGGTCGACAGGAGTCAGAATCGACTCAGCAACACATAACCACCACACGCTTTATTCACATATCCTGAGTTTTCACTGAGTGTTCTTTTTCTCAAGACGAAGTGGATTTTTAATTTTATTTAACTTTGTTGTTGTTAGGTGCTGTGGAGTCAGTTCCAACTCATAGCAACCCTGTGTACAACAGAACGAAACACTGCCCAGTCCTGCGCCGTCCTCACCATCATCGTTATGCTTCGGCTCATTGCTGTAGCCACTGCGTCAGTCCATCTCATTGAGGGTCTTCCTCTCTTTCACTGACCCTGTACTTTATCAGGCATGATGTCCTTCTCCAGGGACTGATCCCTCCTGATGACATGTCCAAAGTACGTGAGATGAAGTCTCGACACTTTATTTAAACTGAAAAACTAATACTTTATTATTTATTTAATATTTTATTGTACCTCAGGTGAAGGCTTACAGAACAAATAGTTTCTCATGTAACAGTAGCACACATGCTGTTTTATGACATTGGTTAACAACCCCACAACATTTTAACCCTCTAAATTCTCAACTTTTTT